TACATTTTGTACCACTAAATATATGGAAAACGAAAAAAACGATTCATCCGCCATTTACCGGCTGTCAGTCAAATTTTGTACTCAAATTACGATTAGAATAATTAAAAATAAATACTAGGTACAGCATTAATATAGAAAAAATTAATTGTTTTATATTTCTAACCTGGTGAAAAAGTGAATTTAATATAAAGAACAAAAATACTTTGAAAATATCAATTAAACTTTGCATTTTCATGGGTCAACAGAAAATTATTTTTCAATTTGCGTGTCAAGTTTAAACATGTTCATAAATGACGACGAAAAAATGATTCATGTGCAATTTACCAGCTGTCAATCAGATTTTGTATGACCGATATTATAATTGAAATTATGACAGATATAATTAAAACCGAAAGTTCGATGCTGCATTAACATTATGAAAAATATGAAAATATTAATGAAAATTTTAATTTTTTTATGAATATTGCTGGCAAGTATGATTAAAATCGAATTTTCGATACTAAATTGACATTGTAAATAATTTAAAAAAAAGTTTTTATCCTGATGAAAAAAGTGAGAAAGGGAAAGAACTGGAGTTTCATAAATTAATAAAGTTACCGTGGGCATTATCTTGCAAGCCTATTTATAATCCATTAATTATTGATTAAAAAGCCCGCAGAAAGTCCGTAAACGTTCTTTAATCACAGCGTTATCCTCGATAGCGTTTGATGTCCCAAAGTTTCCGGTTGTTAAATCCTTTTGCAGTACCCGGTTGACCGACAAGCTGGTTATTTTAAACCTTCGTGTGGCGTGAACTTAACAATCAGTTCAAGGTTGGGAATCGCTGTTTTGGATGTGTGCGTTCCATGTGTCTTTATACCTCGGCTGACGGGGAGGTTTAGGTCGGCGCCCCAGCAATGGCGAGTCGCACCGTATTGATCGGCGTGACTATCTCGCGCCGCGCGGCGCTTACTATACGCGCCCGTGTGTTCGGCGTGAGCGGAGGCACGCGGCCGAAACGCATTCGAAAATAGTCATTTTAGATCAGACATCATATTTGGATCTGACTCGCAAAAGAACTAGTGGTGCACGGCATCTGCCTAGAGGCAAATTGCTGGAACTTCCCGTACCGAAAATCAAATTTTTTAAAGAAGCTTTAAAACTTTTAGAAAACTGACAAATTAGATTTTTGAGAATTTTGATATTCATGAAAAAAATAATCATTAATGAATGAACTTTAATTTTGAAACGCGCCTCGTAGCTGTTTTACAGACGAAATATCGAAGCGTGTAAGCGCAGCGTCGCAGTCTAACGGATAAGCATTGGTACAAAACCGATAGATATAAACTAACTTTGTACTTACTATTAAAATCTCTATAAAAAATCAGATAATTTGATATGCATGTGCCTAATGCTCATTTTTTACCGTTAAATGTCATTTCATTTGATTTTTTAATGGAAATCGTGGGAAACAGTATTCAAACATACCCAGAAACACACACTCCATACATACAGGGCCGGTCATGCCTTGCATGCAAAAAATGCGGGCGCACGCCTTAGGGGGCGTCAAAACGAGATTCGGAAAATAATATATCATTCGTATTTTTTTTTAATATGAAATCTAAAATACTTAACAGATTATAATAAACAATCTAACTTAACTATGGATATGTAGAAACAGAAAGCATATTCAGTTTGCAATGTGATATATGTAGAAACAATTAATTACTCATGCAAATTAGTAAATTATTGTTCTGCTTATTATTTAATGAACTCATTAAATTTTTCTTCGATCGAAGTTAATGTGGAATTAAAAAGAAATTATCTAGTGTTCAATACCGTAAGCGCAAACCTACGAAAGTTTAAATTATTGGGCATTATTGATAAAAAATTGCGAGGTGATTTAGTTTGAACGGATCGTGTTAAAAAAAATAGATACAAATTATAATACAAAAAAATGGAAAATGGGAAGTCATTGCATAGAAAATGACTATAAGACCGAGAAACTTAATTCTAACTTTTGTATTTGTTGAAAATGCGTGGTTAGGTTTATGAAAATGGAGCAAATATGAAAAATGGAAGCAAAATGTACTTAGAAACAAAACTCGTGACCTTTTTTATACCTAGTGGTGTCCATACTAAATTTAATTATTAACTAAGCAGAAATAAAAACAGATACAAATATTATTTGCATCTTTTAAAATACGTTAAAAATTTAACTTTAAAACAACAATCTGATATTCTGAATCAGTTTGATATAACATTATTACAACAAACATTTTGGTTTTTAATTTATTTATCTATGACAGTGTCGGGACTCGATATCCCAATCCAGAATTAACGTTTAATTAATTACATTTAGATGTGAACTTTATAACTGAAGAGTTTATTGAGAAATATAATCATCAACTCTCTATCAAAACATAGGTCTAGCTTAGAACATAAAGCTTGAAGCGAAGACGCGAAAAAGTAAAATTGCGGTTGATCAGCGGTCATTGTATTGCCAAGAAGATCATTGTCTTAATACAACATAAATATCATTAGCATAACACAGATACTTAAAATATTCCCACAAGTATTGATAGAAGATATATTTTTTAATGATAAAAATACACTTTTGTCATACTATACTTGTATAACTAATTTACAACGAGACTATACACTATATAAAATTTATTAAAGAACAATACGCTACAATAAGATTTTATTTGATATTTGCTCAGGGTAAATAAAAAAGTGCAGCAGTCATGTAATGTTTGATTTTGTAATAATTTTGTTCATTAAATTATGAATTATTTTTACAGGAATCGATTGAATTTGATATACCTATAATATTTAATTAATGTTAATGAATCGCTAATTGGTTCAATATTGAATATAGAATTTTTCATGTATGCCTTCAATATACATTTTTAGGTACCGAATTAATATTATTCTGAGAACAAAATAATAAGTACACAATTTGAAAATAATAACGTTATCATGTAGAATTTTATTTATTTTGAACAAATTCTTTATAAAAGTATATAACTGTATTGAAAAATCTGATGTCTAACAAATGCCTCTGCTGTTTTTATTATCCATTTCTAAAGCTAACTCATGTTGCCACATTACACCCCCAATGTGGATATTTATTTATTGAAAATACACTTTTTAAAGAAAAGTAAAGCTGTATTAAAAAAATTGATCGATTACAAATGTAGACATGTCATGTCATGTCTATCTATTGTTTTCATTATGTAACTTTTCACAGCCAATTCGTAATTCTAAATGCTGTCACAATTCTAATTAGAATTAATTACATTTGTAAAAGTTTTCCACTTAACAAATACAATTGTTTATTTTAAAAGTTAGAAAATGCATTTTTTGAATTTTTTTAATTTTTAGTAAGGGTTTGCAGAAGTAGTTTGCAAGCACTGCTCGAGATGCAGAAAAGGAACAAGGGAACAGCAGCTGGACCAATGAACTGAATGCGCGTGGATAGCATCGGGAAAGCCCCAGTCGCAAAAAGACAACAAACAGAAACCGGCGGGGCTCTTAAGTACAGAGGAAAGCGTTTTTTTCCTTCTTCTACGTACTTATAATATTTGTTTTGAGACTGAAGTCTGAAGACTTCTGTTCTAGTCGTTTCGAGATAAGAAAATCAATATTAAGATGTCTATCAAACGTTGGAAAAATGTATTCATCAGGTAACATACAACAATTGGTATTTTCAGGTTGCAAAAACAGAACCTGTAGAATTACAGAACTTTATTTTTTACCATAACAAATTACTAAAGAAAAATATTGATTGAATCACCAAAAAATAATGTAACTAATTATGACTAATAACTTATTAACTAATACTAACTAATTTGATTAACTGGTAATAAATTTATCAAAATAGCCAAAGTGAATGAACAATTGCTATTCAGAATAATGAAAAATTAATTAAAACATATTGAATTGCAAATAAACATAAATCCACAATTCTTTCCAATAATATGTAATTAAACTAGAATGATATATAAAGCTCTAAATATAAATCTGATCCTGCGGAACAGTCCAGGATTTTTCTAGAAGCGAGATTAGTCCTGAATTCAGGAGTTTTGTTATAAATATTATATAATAAATTATTTTAGCTAGAATTATTTTCTGCTGCCACTATTTATGTATCATATTTATATTACTGCCAGTAAAAGCGATATTACTTACTAATGTGAAGAGAAGTGAAGGAAAAAAATGATACATAATTTTATACGAAACTGAAAGAAAAAATACCATTGTTCAAAAAATTATATATAAAAAAATGGGGACATAGTACTCAAAGTAGTTCTAAAACACTACTTTTGATTTATTTAAAGAAATAAATAATATTGAAATATTATATTATAAAATTGTCATTGGTTACCTTTCTACAAATATTGAGTCCTCATAAAATAAAGAAAAAAATAATTATACCATTTATTACCATTGCAAAAATTAAAATTTGGTATATCGAAATATCGCGAAGTTCTTAATATAATCAGGAATGCTGTTTAGTATGATGAAATAGCTAAATTATAATATGAGGTCAGAAGGGTGATAAATATTTATCGCGAATCCAATCAGATTTTTCGACGTATTGTTAGTTATCAGATGAAGATTTATAGCAAGCGAATTATATAGAATCATAAATTATAAAATATATAATAATGTATACATAATCACACACTCGCGAAAAATATATGTATATATAATAATAATAATTGTTATTTTTCCTAGGTTTGCCTAAATATTTTTTATCACTACGCCAAATATAAAGGCAACACAGCATACAGTCAAGCTTTCTTTAAAAAATTGAAGCACATAAGTGTGTGAAGAAAAACGCGTTCCATCTATGTACGAGAGGACCAGTTTCAAATCGTGGTTTGCATCTCGTTTTCATTAGAGATTACTATACCTTTCGAATAGAAACACACATTCAAAAACAAACGTGATAGTCAAACCAATTCATATATTATTCAATATATAAATATCATAATTATATTTAATAAAATTAATTATTTACAAAGGAGTACTGGTTTTTCAACAATGCACCTGTGGCATTTTAAGTGGCAGCAACCATTCCATCGACACATGCAGAATTTCCAATCTTCAATAAAGGTTTCCTGATAACCTCTTCCACAGCAAAGATTGGCACAATTACTTGTGTTCAAACATATGCGACCCACGGTTTGAGAACAATAAGAAGGCGAAGTAATAAGAAATTGTAACGATTTCGGTCTAGCAGTTTTGTGTAGCACGCTTCTTTAACAAAAAACATTAAAAACTGTATAATTGCATAGGATTTTTTATAGTTTATTTGGATATATTATTCGATTAATGAGTTAATTAATAAATTTTCATTTTGTGTTGCAAACAAGTCGTAAAAAATTATCTTCGACGTTTTGTAATTAAATAATAATAACACATGAAAGAAAACGTGAAGGTGAATAAGCACACCCTGTTTCAAAACGTCAATAATATTTACATATTTATAGAAAATGTTTTCATTTTTATTTAGATTTTCTAACAGTAATACTTTAAGTTTGAATAATAAAGAATTATGCTAATTTTCAATTGTTTTCTGGAATTAAATCTATTAGGTGTTATTTATTATCAACAATTCACATTTATTATGAATTTTAAATAAATACCTGGAAGATTTGTTACTCCGATTATATTTTGAAGCGTGATAATATTTTATTTTGAGCTCTTTAGCAACATTTTTGAAATCTTCAACCCTTTTCCAGCATGTTTTGATTTTGCATAGTCCGTTCGGATTATGACATTTACATATTTTTCTAATCTGCAACAGGTAATCTAATTAGAAACTACTATCTGTAATTATAATCTTTTAATTATAGCGATTTGTAATGTATCATAATTTTAATGAGTTCATTAATAAACTAACATGTGACGAAAGAGTACGTAATCCAACTCCCAAATCATGTTGTAATACATGATTTGCTATATGTTGATCATGATCATATCTCTGTTTATATTTTAAACTTGGTATGCTAGGATTTAATATTTTTTTAGCTATTTTGCGACCATATTGAAAGTTTTCTGAGCAAATACTATTATGTAAAGAGAAATTTGAATCTTGAATTGTAGAAGTGCTGCAGTGACAATGGACCAATGAACCTAAAAGATAAAAAAAACTGTAAATACAATTTAAAATGTAAAATTTTATATAAGAAAAAAACTAACCTGATGCGCAAGCTTTAGCAACAGAATAAGCAATAGCTGCCGATGCTAGTGCATGAGCAAAAGCAGTTTCTTTTGTGATTTTTTTAAATAATTTTGTATTGATTGTGCAATTCCAACGTTCATATCGAAATTGTTCATCACAATGCTGTTTTGCCAAAATTTGTGCTTTATGAATGGCATCTATCAAGCCAGGGTCACTATAATAAAAATACATGCACGGACTGTAAACTATCACTATTAAAATTTGTTCTTATATACCAAACATTATTCTTGAGATATATATTTTAAACGAAATATAAAGTTAAACAATTCATAAATTGTTTAGTTCTAATTCAATGTGTTCAATGATTTTTGAATTTTAGTACTAATATTATGTATGTGTGTGTACATTGAAATATGATACTCATACGAGTACATTTCATGTACCAAATCCTAATAATTAGATTATGAGATTATGTTACTCAAATACAGTACTAATTAAACTCAGTTTATTTAAGATAACTACCTATAAAATAAATATGTAGAGAGATTCAGAAGCAAATTTTTAAGCAATGAATCGTTAAACAATGTTGTTGAATATAAACTGCAAAAAACTTTCTTATAATGATATAAAATGTTGTTGAATAAAAAATATTTTTATAATAATAATGTTAACAACTAATAAATTGATAGTGCTAAGTGTTTAAATGTTTTACCTTTTACAGATGGATTTTTTATATGGAAATGCTGTGGACCACTTACAAGCATTATTCAGTGATTTAGTTTGGGTGTAAAATTCCGAAATTATTTTTTGCGATGAAAACCGTCTGTTTAAAAAAATAAATTATAAGTCCTAAGTTTCAATTTGATTTAATAATTTTTTGTTAATTAATTTACATTATATACTTACGATTTTATAGAAATCATATAACCCAATAGATATTGAAAAATACACAATAAATTTATGAATACGTGCACGCTAATCAATTTCATTTTATGTTCATTCTAAATTGTTTATTTTTGAAAATATTTTATTTTTAATACATATTATGTTTCTTATTTATTCAAAATATTTCAGATTACTATCAGTTTGAAAGCACAACACAAAATTATACACTCTTCACAAAAGTTTTATTATATTATTCATACAAATTATTGGTTATTTATATTTTTATTTTATAAGATTTTATTATTTGCATAAATTGCACAATTAAATAATATTAATGAGAAGATAATAAGTCAATATTGCTCGTCCGAGTATTTGCAACGTATTAATATCATAATGACAATATGGTTTATATTGAAGCCCTAAGGTTGCAGCTCGATTCTTAATGCGCATATAAATAAAATAGAGATGAGAAAAATGTGTCTTAATTAAAAAGATTTATATTGAGATATTGTAATCAGGAAATCGCGCACATAAAATGAAATCACATAAAGCAGCATAGCAGAAATTTTAAAAGTGTCTTTGATTTTAAGTCTGATTAAAAATAATGAAAACAATTCATTAATATGCTGATATATTTTTTTATAACAACATCGAGACATGTACGATTACAAATTGAAACTAGCTTTGCAAACCTTACAATGCTTCATAAATTTACCTATTGGTAAATCTAAATTCAGACTAAATCTAGAAATCGAATAAAAACCCACAATTCATTGCTCAGTATTCAAACAAATATTTTTTAATATTTCATTATAGTTTTTCAATAATAATCCAAACAATGATAAACATGTGAAGATTTTTTTAAAATATTTCTTTCATCTATGTTGGAATATTACGTTTGGAAAAATATCAGTTATAAAAAATACGTAACAAGATTGAGCTGAATTTACAACAGGTAATATAAGCAATTATTGTACAAAATGAAATCATATATTATAAATTTATATAAAAGTAGCTGGTTTAGTTTCTGTTTTAGTAATCCTGGCGGAGCACCAATATTTTTTCAAACTCTAAATCCAAATAATTAATTAAAAAATTAAAATAACCTAAAATGTAGTTTAATGATACGCCACGAAAGTTTATTGATATTGTTATATTATTTTCTAGCTATTGCAAAATCGAATTTATCGAACTGTTGTACAAATCACTAAATACTTGTTTATTAGATACAAGCATAAAAAAATAAGTTTCAACAATTTATAAATATCACGTATGTCCATCAGCTTGATTGTTTAGTCTTTAAAAGTGTGAGGGCTCATATATTTATATTAATGATTTGTTTAAAGACAGCACACTTATGACGCCTTCTACTCTTAACAGACTAGTAAGTAATATTTAATATACAAAAGTATAATATAAATACCAAATATATCTGTACAAAAACATAATTTGTGAGTCATAGAAGTGAACTAATTTTGGTTATAGTATAATATCATTCCATATATTTGCTAACCCTATATAGGTAGTACCATAAGTTTCATAATTTTATGTTAATAATTTATAATATAATAATGATAATTATTATCATCATCATTACAAAGATGAGCATCTTCATGACTGATAAATTTTGAAATAAATTAGTAATCTATACTATGTGAAGATATTTCACAGTTCTGTCAATAATAATTATATATAATTTAACTTACCAATAGATAATTTTCATAATTATTAAAAAAGTGGATAGTAGTAAATGTAGCTAGTAGTTGGTAGTTTAAAAAGAAGTAGTGACTACATACAGTTTAGAAATAGTTTAGTGATTATTTTTACTATGGTTTGAAATTTATTCAAACGTTTAATTTTTGCTTGTTACAACTTCAATATAATTTTATCTATTTATATCTTCATAATTTTATATATTTATATCCTACTGAGCACGATCCTAAAAAGAAAAGGAAACTGGATCGGACCCATTCTGCAAATAGAGTGCTTTTTACACGACGTTGCGGAAGGTAAAACAAAAGGACTGAAAGGATTGGGAAGAAGAATGCAGATGATTGATGACTTATAAAAGTTTAGAAAATACAGGGACCTGAAAGCTGAAGCGTAGGATCAGGATGTTAGCAGAAGTTTGTGAAGGAAAATGAATAAAAAAGCGTTTAAAGGTAAGAGGGTGATATACCTGGAAGGGAAGGGAATCATCGATTTGCCTTCGAGCAGACTACCACTTATTTTTATTATTTATTATTATCTTCAAGATAGCTATACAGGTTTACTTTTTTGTAATTGAAAGAAATTGTGTATAAATAAAATAAAATCTTTTTGAAACAAAACAAAATCATAGACTGTTCAAAAAAACAGTATGATGGGTATATATAGGGTAAATTTTTAGGGTGTCATACAGTAACAATACCTAAAAAGAGATGGTACTGCAAAGTACATTTTCGACTAATATCCGTTTTAATAGTACGTATACGAACCTAGAATTGTTCTGAGCAACTCCTGCAAGATGCCGATAATGTTTACAAGTATTTTAAATAAAATTTGAATCGTAAAATATTTAATATAATAATCATAGAGATAATTCTAAAGAATATTAATTACATATGAATATTTTAATAACTTTCAATTTAAATATAATTATTTTCATGAATGCATAAATAATGTTAATAATTATATTTTATTATTATTTAACATTCAGAAAAACTATATATTTTATTAGAAAAATATATAACGATCTATTGCAATAATAATAATTAAATTATTAATAATATATAAGTTTTAGCTAACGATAAGTAATATAAATTATATATCTAAATGAAGATCTGATATCTATGAATATAAACGTTTTTTCGATTTAGCGCTCTTTTATTTCGACCTAGGAATTCTTCAAAATATGGGTAAAATTATGGAATAAATGTTGTGATAAATGTGAAGGATACTAAACTAGTTCTTAACAAGTATCAAAAATCACTAAAAAACAAAATTTCTACTCTATTCTAAAAATTTCAACTCTATTATCCACGCAATAAGATAGCACCGTTTAGCGCTGTTTTGTTTTGCGAAAAAAAATTATCTAGTTTAAACAAATTATTGATTACCATTATTGAAACAAAATAATTTATATCTGACAATTAACATCTGCCGGATTATATCTATATATTACGAATTACTACGCTACCTCACCACATATTTCAGTAAAATAAAATATACACAAAATTCCATGTAAGAAATAATATATAATAGCGCTAACATAAAGAAATTATCGAAGGCATTCTAAAAGGTGAGCGTAAAACGCGTGTCTTCCGGTCTCCATTTGGTGGATGTGAAGATCCAAGTAAAATTTAGACATCTGGGAAAACCATCTGCCGAAGACCTCGTGCTCTTCTAAGGGCACATGTCTGCACATTAACAGCTAATATACAGCCATTTTATCCCTAAATCTAGAAGTAAATACGTATCTGGTGAATTCCAGTAGCGTAGTAAAATAGAAGTGTAATTACTGATGAAAATGATCAGACAAAAACCTATAAAAGAGTACAATACCTGTGGGTTAAACCTCTATGTAACACTCCTAAAGTTTAAATTACATTAAATAATAAAATAAATATTTATAAATTGAATTGAAAATGAAAGATTAAAATTATATAAAATTATATAGTATACAGTAAATACCTATTCAACATGGCAGACTCATGTAAAAAATATAAACATTGGTTTGAAAATTTTTATGTACTTTTAGAATCGTCATAGGAATTTTTATCAGTTGCTCCAAATATGATACTATAATTTTTATATTTGTTCAATTAGAAATTTACTTAATCAAAACTAAATAAATAAAATAAAGTCAGACAACCAATTTGTTAGATTTTGAATTCTTAGTTCTATCAAACTTGTTTCAAACTTTGGTAATAAGTCGGTGTAGCGGATTTGAGAAAAAATGAACGAGACGCAATATTTGCAGATGAAAAATACAGGCTCGCCTATGTATAAATGATTAAGGCTATGAGATTCACAGGTCTCAGATTCGGTAATCGTCGAGCAGTAGTGACATCGATTTTCAATGAAAAATATAGAGCGCAATGTGTTTTCCAAGAGAAAATAGCCCTTACTCGGCATAGATGGATGAACGCAAAATCATCACAATTACTGAATTTTGAATAATAAAATTCATCATATAGAGATGGGACATCTGTTCAGGTACCATCTATTAAATCGACGTAATTAATTAAGTTAAATCACCAAAATAGCTCATTCAAAATTCAATAGCTAATTTAATCATTTCTAAATATTTTATAATAAATAGCTTATTTTACATACCAAACCAATTATTGAAAAAAAAGATAATAACCAAAATCAACTTTTGGACTAAACCAATATATTCAAAAAAATTTAAGATGCAGAGTTTGTTACATGTAATAAGATTAGTCAAATATTTCTATGCCAGTTCGACTCTGTCCTTATTCTATAACATGAATGAAAGAGATGAAAAGCAGAAACATCCAAATCTTTTTTGAAAAAGACTATTTATAAATACTTAGCTTTCGCACAAAGCAGAGCGTTTCTAATTTGGTTTTCGCTATCAGATACACAATGACCCGATCAATGCTAAGGGAGGCTGTTTAAGTCCACTTTAAGTGGAGGGACTACGAATTTCTTGCTCAGGCTTTAGTTTTTTTTACGAATGCACCATTTTTCGACATATTTCTTACAGTTTCTCTGACTGCCTTGTACAAACTTGACTAGTAATGCTAGATACAATAGTATACTATTAAGGAATTACGCTAAAATGCGTTCAGCCGACTTTGTATTAGGATTGTGCCATGCGTTACTGAAATATTTACGTTTTAAAGTTCAAACTGAGGTAATATAATATGTTACA